CTGATTGTCGCAAAAATTATAAAGACGACATCTCAATAACATTATTTTGGCTAAATGTTCAAGCTGAGCAATATCCAGATGGCACTATGGTGTATCTTCTGTTCGCCAAGTTTGCATTCCATATGCTGAGTTTGTCTCAATCCTCTGCAGATGCAGAAAGGAAGTTTTCGCACATTAATTTGTTGAAAACGAATAGTAACATGTACAAAAGGTTGATAGCTGTGACAAGTTTCGACAGAGTAGTACAACTCGGTTATTTTATTTTAATTTTATGTAAATTGAGTTATTAATAAAAATATTTTGTTCAAAAGGCGATTTTTTTTCAAAAATACATTTAAAAACCACTTAAAAAGTTCGGAAAAAAATCAGAAATTTAGGGACAATAAATTATCTACCGTTTTAATTTTAAATCAACCGTTTTTTTCCTATTCATTCTACCGCTTTCGAAGTTCTTCGTCTGGCAACGCTGGTTCTGTGGTCTTGTTCACACCTCAAATCTCTAACCAAAAGTCATACAACTGACAAAACTTTCCATTGTTGGAATGATCCCACAAAATATCCCCCCAAGGGGGTATGTTCTGTGAATGATCCATAGATAAAGATGATGAATGATCTGCGCACAGATTACAGAGTCTTCAGAACCTCTGTGATCTTTTCGTAGATAAAGACAAGTATTTATTAAGGCTTGCTCATTCCTTTCCCGAATTCAAATCACACATGTCAGGTCCGAAAAGTAACAAATGAAAGTTTAAAAAATTTCTGTGGAATACTTAAAATAATATAGCATATTTCCGTTCATGATCAAAGTACGTTGATAATAGCAGACATTTTATTTTAGCACACCTCGTATTTTGGAGTTATTTTTCAAACATAAAAGGAATCAAACCCGCCATATAGATCATAAATATGATGTTTTATGGATCCTGCAGTAGTGAAATCAGGTTCCCTACATACAATCTATTTCTGATGTTGCAATGATATTTCCGATATTTCCAAATTTAATAAATGATAGTGAATTACAAGGTCTGGAGACAGAATGCCGTCTGTTGCAAAATATTGAAGAAATTAAAAAATTTTCTGGAAATATTGAAGAGTTTTTACTTACTTAATTTTTTACTTTAGTATTCCTGTAAGTTTAAAAATTCAAGTTTTGAAAAACGCGCGAGTTTATGGAGCCTTTTTTTTGGTGAGGTTTTGGACCACCCAACCAGCTCTAGGTGTGCGTAACAGAGCATTCCCAAAACCTCACCAGATGGAGCCCTTAATAATGAAAGAAAAATGAGTCTACCGATTTTCTACCGAAAAATGTCGAGCTTATCTACCGAAACTCGATTTTCGGACCTGGCAACCCTGATTCAAATTTATGGCTTCATTTTTCTACTCACCCTGAGACATAGAGAAAGTAAAATAAGTAAATATAATATTTTACTTTCTCTATGCCCTGAGAGTTAAAATGTCGGAGGCTAAAAGGGTGTGTGAAAAAATTGCGAACAAATGTACTAAAATTCAAGCTTATTTTTACATTAAATTGACATCAAAAGTTATTTAAGAATCCCAATTTCACAGTGGACGACAAAGATGTTTCAAGCCATATTTTCCTTTCAGGTATCAACCCAACCTTGATGCTCTTTTCAAAGGCACCGGAAATCATTTAAGGGCTCAGGTAGATATGAAGCTGCACTACTCGTATTTATATATGTAATTAGTGCTCCCATGTAACTATAGACGAGAACAAGTACTGTGTGTTGTTCCATACAGAGCAATTGTCTTTCATAATACAAAATATTAAACTCAATAAGGATCCAATACAAATCCTGGTGCTCATGTACATAAAGACAGGGGCGGCAAGAACGCTCGATTTTACGTCATTCCAGAGATAACTAAATGGCCTTTATTCGAAGTTTCTCAAGAACCATTCGAGCCACAGAATTTGTTTTGGCATCGCTGGATAGAGAATTGAAAAGTCGATTCAGTCGTAACAACGTGCGTGAGGAAATTTGAGTAATTTTGACCCAGAAAG